TATATATAAGAATATATATGTATATATATATAATATATATATATATATATATATATATATATAATATATATATATATATATAAGAATATATATATATATATATATATATATATATATATATATATATATATATATATATATATATATATATATATATATATTATATATATATATATATAAGAATATATATGTATATATATATATAATATATATATATATATATATATATATGAATATATATAATATATATATATATAATATATATATATATATAATATATATATATATATATATATATATATATATATATATATATATATATATATATATATATACATATATATAGGTATCTTCATAAAAAATTTAAACTTTTATTTTTTAAACCAAATTAATTCTATTATATAGAGATTATTAAATGGCAAATTTTTATACCAAATTTATTATCTGGGGTCAACTATAAAAAAAAGATATTCAATTTTGAAGGTAGAGAAAATAAAATGGACATCTTAACAAAGATACACAAGAAATGACTTCAAAAAGTGGACTTTATAACATAGTTCATAAAGTATTAACAATTTACCGCCATATATATGATAAAAACTGTTTATTATATCCCACTTATATTAAATAAATTTAAAAAAAAAAAAGGGAGGGGGTGGTGTTTAAGGCTATTTTAAAAGTGGGTCAAATTCGATTCAAGTCGTTTTATTAAAAAAATTACCATAATTAATCTAAATTTAAGTTTGTTCATGCTTAAATCTAATGAGAATGTGAAAAAAAAATTGTATAAAAAATTGAATTGGTTGGAGCCTGGGAACAAAAATACCCCAAACAGTTTTTACCCCCACATAAAAATGTGAGGGGACTAAGTTATTAAAATACTTTAACTTATCATTTTATACTTCATTTAAATCCATCAACAGACCCAATAATTCTTGATACTTTTAAAGTTATTTCACATGGTCATAACCTTTGAGCATTAAAAAATGTTAATTTAAATTTAGTTTTGGATAATAAACTTAAAAACTTATTAACTCATTAAATTATTATTTGAGACAGGGGGGTTCTATCTTTTTTAGATAGTTTTGTTCCTAAGTTTTAATTACCACAATTTTTTAGCAAATCATTCTTATTTGACATATGATCGAACATACTTATACTTAGAGTTTTCATAATGCCAAGTACAGTATCTTAAATGTAAAATAACCCTGTGTCTGCTCTTGGTTAATATAAAAAATTTTAAAAATTAAAAGGAAAAAATAAAAATGTATACAAAATAATCAACATAAACAAAATAAAAGATAATAATGCCTAATATATTGAACTCCAGGTCTTTAAGTATTAGATCTGCTATAACTCCTTCCTGGCTTATGTCAATATCTTCAGCTTCATCTTCATTGACTTTCCAATATCCTATTGTGTATGTAATAGATTTTTTTTTTGTTGCTACTTTTTGATCAACAATTCTACCAAAAAATAAATGTATATTACCATCATCTAGCTCCCATTTATGGCTTAAGAGCTGCCCTATCAAGTTTCCATTTTTCAAAATTACTCTTAAAATTTGTTTTTGTTTTTCATCAATATTAACAAAAAGAGGATTTGTGGTTTTGGCATTTTCAGCTATTGCTCTTTTAATATCCTTCCCTAGTTGTTTTCTTTCCAGACGTTCTTTTTTTAAATTAGCTTTGGCACATCTTTTTCTTATTTCTTCATACAATAGATTATTAAAATATTTAGAGGCTTGACACGTTAAAGCTCCTCTGCGAATTGCAAATTGAATAAGATCTTCTTGTTCTGGCAATGTTTTCTCATCAAGCCATGTTAATGTTTTGTTTACCCTGGCTTTTATTTTTGAATCCAGAAAACCAAAAGTAGCATTAGGAGCACGACACAAAAAAAAATCAAGCATGCCCAAGATCCTTTCAGCCTCCATTGTATGAGGTGGAGCAGATAGTGTGGTTTTTATCATTTCTTTAGATGGATTTGAGAGATTGCCAGTCAAATACCTGGCCATCTGTCTTTTGAGAACTGTCTCTGTGTAGCTTATCAAAGCTGATAAAATCTTTACCAAAATATTTTTATTTTTTATTACACCAAGGGATTGGCGTACCTTATCTTTAATATTTAATACTTGACTAAAAATATCCACATCTGTATAAAGAATTGATTCTGGATTACTTTTGAAGTAAGCTAATTTCTTTATTGCTTTCTGGAAAATGTCACCCTAATAAAAAAATAATTTTTGTACATTTTTTAAACTACTTTATTTGTTTATTAAAAAACCTTAAAAACTTACGAACTCAAGATTACTCTTTCCTGTTGCATTTTTATAAACCAGACTCATCCATGGCCCAGTTACTATTTTTACTATCAGGCAGTTGCAGTTGCACAAGCGTTATATCATTACTCATATCTTGAAGTAAGAGCTGGCAAATTTTATTTTTGGTGTTGCTAGAATAACGAGAAAATGTTAATACATGGAATTCTATTAAAACAAATATTCATCTAAAAAGAATTACTTTTCAAGAAAGGTTTTTATAAGTCTTTCGTATGTAACAACAATCCCTGCCATATGGAACAAAACATGAAATCTACTACCAACATATCTAAGGAATAGCCCTGGAGCAACATTGTTTTTTTTTTAAGATAGCTTTTGAATGCTGCAGGATCGCCTTTAAAACTATACCTGATTTTTAAAGGGCAAAAAAATTAAAATTTCAAATTTTCAAAACTTGGAAATAATAAAGAAATAATTGCTCACAAGAAAATAAAACTAAAACAAAAATTAAATAATGAAAGATATACATATAAAAGATTACCTTAGCTTAGAAATAAGAAATATTTTTGAGGACTGTTACTGTAACCCCATCAGTTCCTTTAGCCGGTTTTTACCTTCAACTCATTATCTATTTTTTTTAGAGCTAATAATGCTTTTAAGGCAATAGCTTCCAATGGATGAACATTGCAGTACAGTTGCATTAATTGAATGTCCATCTCCTCCTGAAGCATGTTTTTCACACAACTATTAACAGGTATATATATATATATATATATATATATATATATATATATATATATATATATATATATATATATATATATATATATATATATATATATATATATTTATATATATATTTGTGTGTGTTTTTTTTTTACAATTAAAATAATTCCATAGAAAACTAAATTTTTATGTATATTGCTCACAGGGTAAAACTACCTATACTTGGAATTCCACCAAACCCTGACCACTTTTCAAAAAAATTTATTGCCATAAATATTGTGTTAGTGGCTTTCCAAATTTTTAAAAATAAAAATATAATCTAACTTTTATTAGTGCAATAAATGCAACTTTTTTTCTGAGTTTAAAAATTATACTAAATTTGTATATAATTTAGGCAGAACATATTTTTTTAACTTGCGATAATAAATATGTTTTTCATTTAAATTTTAAAATATTGTCACTAATTTAACTTCGTAAAACGTAATGGCCAGGAATGAGTTTGCAATGGCCATGTTTTGGATCTCTGGCTATGATTTATCGATTTTTTGCCTTGTTAGATTTTTTCCTAAAATTTTTTAGTTTATTGTTTTTTACTTGTCATAAATTGTATCTCATGAATATTTTTAATATTTTAGACATATTTTTAAGAGTTTAAACATATTTTTTATGAATCGAAGCCATTTGCGATAATATATGATGCAGTTTAAAATTAATTGGCTAGGAATTGGTGGTTTTACCCTATGAGTAATCCATAAATTACGTCACACTACTAGGGGGAGAGGGAGGCAGACATTTGTGGCAGTTTGTAACAAAGGGGAGTGATGGGGTTACAATAAATGTGACATCACATAAATTATTTTTGAATGCGAACCTTGTTACTACCTATTTAGTAATTAAAATAAGGAAGTATTTTTGTAACACTTCTTATATTTATGTGTAATGCCATATTTTTATTTAAGTTTTAAAAAGCAGTGACATTTCTTTTGAATATTTTGTGTGTAAAAAATGTCATATTTTTGAAGACCTTAAGTCGCCGTAATTCAAATATTCATTTTCATTAACTTAAGATTGTTAGCAAAAAAAGCGTGATATACTTTTTGGACAACCCCCTACCTAATGTATTTTTAAAGTTGTAATAAAATTTTAAATTATTTTTAAAGGTGTTTTAGCAATTTTCCAGAATTTATAATCATTAAAAAAAATATTATGCCAAGGTGCCAGGATTACAATAAACTATTCATGAGATCTTATATGAGAAAATATCGTAGCAGAAAAAAAGACCGTGATTTTGTGATTGACAATGTTGAAGTTGATGTTAATGATTCAAATGAATATCAATCTGCAATGCATTATTTAGGCCTTGTTACGAGATTTCGCTGCGTAACGGAAAAGCGTAACATGAATAAATGTAACTTTACTCGATAAAGATACATTGTTAAAAGTTAATTTACGTCAGTTGCGTTTTTACTTCATTGTAATTAAATTTAAAATGACTTAAAAACTATTGTTAGTCTTTGAAACGAAATAGCTTTAAATTGAACAATGTTGTTATAAAAAAAAAAATTTCAATGTTGATTAAAAAAAAGTCTTCTTGTATTAAAATCTTATACTTATTTAAAATTAATTTTTTTGCTTTTAAACATTCGTTTTGTGGTTGTTTTTTTTTTTATTTTTTTTTTTAAATAATTTAAATTTAACACTTGTTTACGGTTGATTTTCTTAAAGGGATTTAAATGTACTTATAACTAAACGCATAGATTGGGTTTTCCCCTTTTAAAAAAACGTTTGTACTTGGTTTTGATAAAATAAATGTTGTAAAGAAACGAAATTTACTGCTTTTTCGGCTTTGTTTTTTTTATTTCCATTAAACTATTTTATTTTTATGTTCAGTGAAACCTAATATTTTTTTTCTCAATCCAAAAAAAAAAAATAGTGTTTTCGGTTTTCAGATGTTATAAGCAGAATTTGTTTTTAGCAAATATCATTATAATTTTGAAATTTATGTATCTTATATTTATAGCTCAAGTACTAGTTTTGTTTTTAAAATAAAATAAAGATAAGTTGGGCTTTTAAAGAGTTTATTTACTGATCGCGTTATTTTTAATAGGTTTGAATTTTGGTTTGTTCAAGGACGTATTATTAATAGGTCCTTGGTTTGTTTTATAAAAAAAAAATTCTTCGGCAAACGGCAAAGGGAAAACCCAAACATAACATTTATAACTCGAGTTTAAAAGTATTGACGTCATTTATTAACTTGTAGTTATAAAATGAATCATCCGCTTCTGTAAATAATGAATGAAACTGTAAAATAATGGAAAAATAAAAACTGGAAAGCAATGCGCTTTTGTTTCAGACCAGTATTTGGAACTTACCTGAAACTTAACTAAAATTAAAATAGAGTTATATGTAATACGAACATTTTAAAGTAACTTTAATTAAATTTATTAAATCTTTTTTTACTTTGGTAATTTTATCATAAAAAACGGAGCATTTTAAAATTAAAAAATTTTTAAATGCTCTGTTTTAAAATCAAATGAAAGAATTTTAATTAAATTTAATAAATTTATTTACTAAAAACTGTAATTATTAAAAAAATATTTAAATTTAATAAAATAAATTGAAAATATTTTTTTTTTAAATTTGATTGTTTATAAACTTATAAAATCTTATATTTAAAAATAAATATGATGAAAAGTTTAAACTTAAAACACTTTATTTTCTTTAAGTAATTTTTAAAAACAAAAAAAAAATTATTAAACAAATTGTTTCTTTAACAAAAAATCTATTAGTTTACAATTGCGGTTAAATGCTTTTACTTACGACTTTAATACTTCTGAATGAACGTCACATAAACGATATAAAAAGATCACATAAACGATATTTAAATATTCTATAAGGATAAAGTTTTTGCGTAACGCATAACTGCTGAACGCGTAGGCAAATCGCCTTTTCGCAGGCAAAATGCGAGCTGCGTAACGCTTCTTAACAAGGCCTGATTATTCATTCCAAAGTAGTGATAGTGCTGAACAGTTTAGCTGTGATTATAGCAATGACTTTGGATATAATGAAGCTGTGTTGTCTTCATCAGATGCCTCTAATGGTGGTATTCCAGATACATATGATTTTCAGATGAAATTAAGTAGACTCATCAGTAGAAATAACTGCTCTCGTGAATTTGTAGATGGTTTGCTGAAACTATTAATAGAGAATGGGCACCTATCATTGCCAAAAGATTCAAGGACTTTGATGAAAACTCCAAGAACAACCCATGAAGTGGAAAAATGTGGAGGCACCTTCTTACATTTTGGTTTACAAATCACGGTCGTTTAGACTTTAGAAATAAGTGGAAAGTTATTATACGCAAGCGTAGTAGAGTTAAAAATAATTTAAAATTTTAAAAATGGCTACGGATGTAACTTTTTTAAAGACTTATCATTGACAACGAGTAACTTGTTTAATTTTAGATAATTTAATAGGCTTTTAACTATTTTTAAAATAAAATTATTGTGAAAATAACTTGCAGCTTGACTAAGAAATCTTTTAAATAAAATACAAGTCCTCTGAATGTGAATAAAATCTACTTTCAGCTAAAGCTACTTTTACTGTTTTTGTTTATAATCTTTAAACCTTTTTAAAAAAAATTTTGAGCGTAGAAATTTTTAAATTTTTATTTATTCAGCAAGATGAACCTTTTATCTTTTTTGCATTTTTTGCTTTTATGAGGATTCAATTTTTTTTGCAGGGTTAAAATAAAATCTTAATCGTTAACTTTTTGTAACCTGTTGCTACGATACTCCTTTCTGATGTATATATATATATATATATATATATATATATATATATATATATATATATATATATATATATATATATATATATATATATATATATATATATATATATATATATATATATATATATATATATATATATATATATATATATATATTATAAATAAAAACACAAACAAGTTTTGAACTTAAAGCATAACTTTGATAAACTATTTAATTTTTAGATATAAAGCTATATAAAGTTTGTAATATTCGTAATAATGCAATGGAGACAAACAGAAAAAAAAGCAACATTAGTATAATTTAAAAAATATAAATTTATTTTATGCATCAAATAAATATCAATCAACACAAAATAAAATATCAAAATATAATTCAAATGAAAATATAAATATCTTTTATGCATTAAAAACATTTTTCATTCTTTTAATCTTTAAGTAAAAAATATTTTAAATATATTCATATTGATTTTAACAATCTCAAGCTGAAAACATTAAAAAAAAAAATTTAAACACGAAACACAAAAAATATTTATATCGAGTTCCAAGAAAAAGTCTTTCTGCTTTAGTTTACTTTTCCCTTCTTTACAACAGGTAAGTTTCTTTGTTGAAACGCGAATATGGTTGGAATACTAAAAAAATATATACTATAATATTTGTTTGTTTTAAATCAATTTTTATCATAATTTATTAATTTTGAATCAATATGTACAAAACCAGACTGATGATTCAATTGATAGAATCAAAATGATAGCATTCAATTGATAAAATCAAAAACATAACTAATGGTATTGCTTTGATGCAGGCAATACAGTTGATTTATTTGAGGTTATTGACTAAATCAAAAGCCTGGAATAATAACATTCAAAATTTTGATCATTGATAAGTGTGCATAAATATATAATGTATGTATGCGTATATATATATATATATATATATATATATATATATATATATATATATATATATATATATATATATATATATATATATATATATTAGGATCTTGTGAATTGCTTCGATTCGTGAATCAAGTGTCGCTTCAATTCGAGTCGAAAAAAAAAGATTCAAGTTTTTTCAAATCATATTTTTGCGAATATTGCTGGTTTTTTTAGATTTCTAAAGCTAAAATGTAATTGAAATGGGTTTTTCAAACCAGGGGGAGAAAGAGTAATTGAAAATAGTTCTAACATCACTTTAAAACAAACGCCAAAAATATAATCTGAGCAAAAAGAATTTGTTCAAAGAAATATTTTTATCTTTTTGGAAAAAAAAACAAACTTAAACTTGGTTTTCACGAATAGCTGATTCGATTCGCGAATCAAGACCTGCTTTGAGATTCAATTTGAAACAAAAAATGTTAATTTGCAGGGCCCTAATATATATATATATATATATATATATATATATATATATATATATATATATATATATATATATATATATATATATATATATATATTTAAACAATTTAAAAAATGTATTCTACAAAATAGAGTGCTCAATGTTCTTAAAAGAACAGTGCAAATTTCTGATGAGTCTTGATGAAACACAGTGTAAAATGAAATAAAATTTTGTTAAGAGATTTTTTACTAATTTATAATATATATATATATATATATATATATATATATATATATATATATATATATATATATATATATATATATATATATATATATATATATATATATAGCCACATCGAAAAAGAGCACCATAGCAACAGGTTACACAAGTTTAATGATTAAGATTTTCTTTTAACCCTGCAAAAAAAATTGAATCCTCATATAAGCAAAAAATACAAAATAGATAAAAGGTTTATCTTGCTGAATAAATTTAAATTAAAAAATTTCTACGCTCAAAAATATTTTTCAAAAAGTTTAAAAATTGTAAACAAAAAAACTAAAGTTGCTTTAGCTGAAAGTAGATATTATTCACATTCAGAGATCTTGTATTTTATTTTTTAAATTTCTTTGTACAGCTGCAAGCTATTTTCAAAATAATTTTATGAAAAAACTAGTTAAAAACCTATTTAATTATCTAAAATTAAACAAATCACTCGTTGTCAATGATTAGTTTGTATAATCCTGTTACCGTAGCCATTTTAAAAAACTTTCAAGAAATGTAATTCCACTGCGCATGCGTATAATAACTTTCCTCTTACAAACGACCGTGAAATAGGCATTAAAAAGTGCTTACTTGCAAATGCAGATTATTTTAAAAATAACAATACCATTGATTTATACATAAATGTAGATGGTTTACCACTTTTTAAGTCCACTGGAATTTCTTTTTGGCCGATATTGGGATATTTTGGATGTCTTGATGTTTTTATAATTTCCTTGTTTTTAGGTAAAAATAAACCAGATAATGTGCACGATTTTCTTCGTGAATTTAGTTCAGAATTTCAAAATTTATCTGGAGCGATTATTGTAAATGAAAAACGTTTTTCTCTTTCTTTAAAAAAATTTATTTGTGATGCACCTGCTCGTTCATTCTTGAAGTGCGTCGTCAGCCACACAGGTTACAATTCTTGTGAGCGTTGTCAGATTGAAGGAGCTATGTTCAACATAGAGTTGTTTTTAACAGTACAAATTTAGTGAATCCGAAAACAATTGCAGATTTTAAGGAATTTGCGTATGCAGGGGTTCATCAAAATGGGCAATCACCGTTAATTCCCATGTTTACATCAATTTATCTATTCACCTTAGATTCTATGCACCTAGTATTTCTTGGCGTTGTAAAAAGATTATTGACAATCAACAGTAAATTAATAGAGCTCACTGGAACTTTGCCATCCGATTTCGCACGACAACCACGTACATTATGTGATTTAGATCGTTGGAAGGCAACTGAATTTAGGTCATTCTTATTGAAAACTTCTTTGTATCACCGATAAATTCAAAAGATTTAAACATATCAGTGATAAATGGGTTTAGTAAGTTGTCTTTCAAATCAGTTGTTTTAAATGCTGCAGATTTAACATGTAAAGTTGTTTGCATGAAATACCACGAAAATAGTTTGTTGTTGTATCCTCTACTGCACATGTCCTAAAAACTTGTTATATTGTTGTCTGTTGAACTTTAATGTTTCAAAAAATTGATTTTTAAAATACTTTTCCTTTTTCCCCCCTTTTTTTAATTTTTAACTTTTTTTATATTTTGTTTTTTTCTTTTTCAGAATTTTTTTTTTCTCGAAGAATATATTACAATATTTTGAATAAATGTGTGAACTAATTTTTCTATTTAAAAAATCCCTCTTATAAAAAATATACATGTTTTTAAGCCTAAATATCAAAACACTTAGTAATAATTAAATTATAGATACATTTTAATATTTTTTTTATAATACTTGTTTGAAATTATTGTTTGAAAGATTTTTTTTGCTGTGTTTTTTGCTTATTTTTTCTTTTTGTTAGTAACAACAAAAAGGAAGATTTTCTTTTCGATAATAATTTTTCTTTTTGTTAGTAATTTTTCTTTTTGTTAGTAATTTTTCTTTTTGATAATAAATTTTTTCTTCTAATTTTTGTTACTGCTGTAATTCAAAACATTTTATACAAATACATATTTTTATTATATACATCAGCTTAATAATTTGATTAAATTTTTTTATGAAGGAAAGTTTTTTAGTTTTTTATTTACATTTGTATTGTATAAAATAGTATTATAGCATATATAAAAATGTGGTCTCTTGTTGTGTGGGAAGAGGATGGTAAGTTCATGGAAGATGTAATTTCACATGTTTGGGTTGAAGGTGATGTGCTTCGATGGCCACCCAAGGGTCTTTCAGCTGACTGTGCCTCATCAAATAAAATGGTACCAAAAGATGATTGGAGGCGCTACTCCATTATGAAAATCAAATTAACACATTGTAAGTACTTTAAAATAACGAAATATTTGTTTTTGTTTCTCCTACAATTGTTCCAGATATCTTTTCAGTTTTTATAATCTTTCAATATATAATCTAGATTTACTAAGTTATTTGGTAAAAAGTACTTATACTTAGGATTGGGTTCAAACAGAAGAGATGCCTTGATCTATATAATAGATATACATTTTTCTGCCTTCATTTATATATATATACAAAAACACATTTTTTGTAATAATTTATGTTTTTTCAGTGGCTGAAATATTTAATTTTTAAGGCCAACTTTCACTGAATTTTTTTACACTTATGACATAAGTAGCAAAGCAACATTAAAAAATGCATTTTTGCAAAATGCAAAACTCCATTTTTTATAATTGCTAGAAATAAAGTCGGTATGAGAATAAGCTTAAGAAAATTAAATTATAAGAAATAACCCAGCCGGCACAAAACTCCATTTTTTATAATTGCTAGAAATAAAGTCGGTATGAGAATAAGCTTAAGAAAATTAAATTATAAGAAATAACCCAGCCGGCACAAAACTGTCTTTAAGACGTCTAATTAACGTCTTCCACCGGCGTCTCAATCAAATCTTAAAGACATCCTAAATGTTAACACCTTTTAGGCGTCTAACTGCCGATGGATTTGAGATATCTTATTTAAGTAATTAAAATACAGCGAGATTGTAACGCATTGTACACGGCTAAATTCTGATTTCTTTGAGACAGCTTATTTGAGTCATCTTAAAGCCATCACGATGATAACATCTTACAGCCGTGTAAATTCGGATATCATTGAGACAACTTATACTGGTTATCTGTAAGATATCTGCCTATCACGTGTCATTAAGACGTCTCTTATCAGTAATCTTATAGACGTCTATTACTTAAACACCTTTTAGTAATCTAAATGTAGATGTCTATAAAACACCTAATGTTAGTAATTTTTACAACCGCTAAATTCCTGTAAAGCTGTTTACTTTCAGTGTAAACAGGTTTTAAAAATCGTTGATCTCGTAAATCTCGATTTGTCGAAAATGAGCTTTTGGTTTATTTCTCACCGAAGTATAAAACTTATATCAGCATATTAAGTTATATTGAAATTATGATAAAACTGGACTAAAACCCCTTCCCCCTTTTTTATTCCTAAACCACCCCCCACCCCCACAACATTCCCCTTGTATTAAGGACTCGAGAGTAAATAATAATAAGGCCTGTTGACATCTTGCAGAATGTGCATGTTACATTTACTTGCAATTTTTAAGGATCCGTGAAATATGATCACAATCCTCCTTCAAGCTTTATCCATAACAACTAAAAAAAAAACTAGATAGCAATATAAATGTATTATACCTTACATTTTATATTTACTTGCCAATATATTATGGCTATACTCATATAATCAGAAATCAATAAAAAATTACCGTATTTTTAGATGGTTTTTAATTTCAAAATATTGTAGACATAAAAGTAGGAAACTGCATACGTCAGGTATTTTGAAAACAGGATCCAGGATCACTACAAACGCGTGGCTAAGATCATTCTTGTTGTTGCTCAAGATTGGTCAATATAGATTGGATTGAAACCAAATCACGGAGAGTTTGTATTTATAAAAAAACTGTCTTGCCATAAACCACAGTTAAAGCTAAAAACGGTTGTAATTATAATTTATGGTATTCATTAAATAAATACAATAAATAATAAAATATTCAAACCTTGTTAAATAAAATGGTTTAATCTTAAGACGAATGCAAGAACCAAGTATACTATCAAACAATAAGTACACCATCAAACATTAAACTATCATGCATCCATAATAAACTTCATTCTATCAAACACTAAATACACTATCAAAAATTAAACTTTCATGCATCCTATTTTTGCTAACTATTTATATTATTATTGCTAACTTATTCATTACAAAAATTTACATTAGTGTTTTGCAAATTTACATTCCTCTCAATAATGGTCTTTATACAATTAATTTTTAAATAAGTTAGCAATAAAAACTGAAAAACTTATTTTTAAATAAATTAGCAACAAAACTGAAAAACTTCATAATAAAAAAAACTTGAAATTTGTTGACGTTAAAATATTAAATACCCAACCGTTAATAATTATTCAAATGATATTAACTTTTTTTTTAAACGCTTCTTTTTATTTAACTATTTTTTAACTTTATTTCTGCATTATTAAATAATTTAAAATATATAAAAGTATTTTGATTAAAATGCTTTCATAAAAATTATAAGAGTAATATAAATGCTAAAGTGAGCTAAACTACACAAAAAATGGATCATCGGTGACTGTAAACGAGGACCGAGAATTTTGGTTTCAAGAGAAGATTGTTTGTCTAAAAAAAAATCGTAGAATGTATGATAAAATAGTGTGTATTATCGATTGTAAAACATGATGGATGTAGTGTTAAGGTCTTGGGCTGTTTTGGTTGGAATGTATAACGTGACTTTATATAAATAGAAAAAATAATGACAAAAGTAGTTTATATAGGCACTTAAAGAGTCATATACCTTTGGAAAGTTGGGTTAAAAGGAAGCCATTAATTTTTTTAGAAGAAAATGACTTAAAAATTAAATCCAGAATATATTTTTCAGAACATTGTATAAGTTGTTTGACTTTATATGAGTTTCATTATGATCAAATATTAAATAGAATGATTTAGCCTCCCTAATCACAAGATCTCTCTCCTATCGGATTTTTATAAGAGAAATTAAAAATAATGTCAAAGTAATGCATAAGATGTGGACAAAACTTATTAGTTAGTTGCATAAAATTGACTTCGACAAATTTGATAAGTTGAATAAAGTAGAATGCCAAGAATAGGTATGGTTATTGTCGCTAAGTTATTGTTGATTATTAGTAGGTAAGTAAATTAAAAACTAATCCACTGGGATTTTATATTAATTTTTTTGTAAACCAAAAAAATAGGAACATATAGTTCAGGTAGAATTTGTTTTCAGTTTTTCTTCCAATAGTAAATAAAACTTTGATCTCTTATATTAAAAAGTACGACCATTCGAATAATTATGGACGATGATGTACAAAAAAAAAATTTTTTATAAATTTTACATCCTATTTTATCTCATACACGAGAAACATATATTGTTAAAACTTTAAATAATTTCATCTCAGAAAATAAAATAGGATACATATTTTTTTTCTTTTTAAAAAAATTTATTCTTTCATGTAACAAATAATGCAATTACATGCATTAACTTTAAACGCAACATTTCATAAAAGCTATTTAGTAAAACCAAATAACTAGTACTGCGAAGAACTTTAATCAATTCCTCATTTAAATGACTAATTAAACTAGATTAAAAAGTAATATCATGCACTTGAAAAATAATATACATTATTTTAAAGTACAAACTATAGCATCGGGTGTACAAAAGTATAAAACTATAGTATCGGATGTAAAAAAGTATAAATTGTAGCGTCAGGTGTATAGTTTTCATATAAAAAGTGAAATCGATCCATATATACGCATTATAAAATTTACTTTTCAATCTACTATCGAAGCGGAGTTTATCGTTGAGCTTTAGGAGCTCTTCTAGAGTTGATTTTGCTCATAGGGAATGAACTGTTGACGGCTGACAAAAATGAACTCCACTCTCAATTAGAGCTATTGCAGCAGATTGAAACTAAATTAATTTTTTCAGTATTGCAAACTTGTTCATGTTAATATCGTTATCTCATTGGAAACCCAGGTGTTTTAATTTATATTGAAGATATATTGAAGTTTAGTTAATTTGAATAATGTTGTTTGAAATAAAACTTGTTCCAGAAGTTATAATTTGTTTCTCAGTTTTTAGATTAATAAAATTTGCAAATCGGTTGGCTTGAAATCTGTTTTTGTAGATCAGAGATGATAGGACTTAGCAAAACTACATCATCTGCGTCTAAATGATACCAGTATAGATGCCGTTGATGATCCTATTTTGCATTCTGTGACTACCCTTGCAGGGTCTATTCAGTATGAATTTTTTTTAGATTTTTAGATTCGGTGATAAAACAGATCTTTGCCACACTTCTTTTAGTAAGCAACCGGGGTTGATATTTGACCGGGGCCGGATTTGTGACCGTATTAATATTGATATTCCTTATAAATATATTATTGTTATTTAAAATTCATGATATATTTTATATAAAAGTATATATATCATCTCATCGTCATCGTCATCGTCATCATCATCATCATCATCATCATCATCATCATCATCATCATCATCATCATCATCAAGCATACAGTTGATGATGATGATTAAGATGATTCTGATGATGATGATGACAATGAGCATCATCATCATTATCTTAATCATTGGCATGATTAAGATAATGATAATGATATCATCTTCTCTGATACACACTATAAATATAATTACTACTCTCATACTATCTCTAAGATCATTGCTTTTTTTTCCTATATTTGTTCTTTCCGAATGTTTTAGAGTTTTAATAGACAATGAGTCCGATAATGAAGAAAGTGACACATTTTATCTAAATGAACCGAGTCTGCTAAAATTGAGCTTCAAAAGTATTCAAAAATGAAGCAAATAGATGTTTCAGAAGATCCATTATTATATTGGAGTCTCATGAAAAGCGAGTTGCCAACGCTAGCAAACTTGGCAAAAGTATATTTATGTTCACTTTCAAGCTCAACAACAAGTGAGAGGGAGTTCTAGGTTTCAAAGTTAATACAAAATAATCGCATCAGACTTACAAACAGAATGTTGAAACACTTCTTTTTTTAAAATACAATTTAAGGGCTCTTTCTTATTCAACATATTTATGTGATGCCCCTGAAGACTTTACACCACCTAATTCAAAATACTATGATGTCTGGGACACAGAATTATCAGAATTAGAGGAAGAAACTTAAATCATTATAAAGTGTCTTATTTCTTATTTGTCATTCTAAATATTTATGAATTATATTATATTTGTATATATTATGTTTGCGACTTTTTCTTATAATTCCTTAAACTTTCACAAAAATTTTTTAGATTTCTAACAAATTGTTTTTTGAATCTTTTTGTTTTTTGTATGCTTTAACTGTTTTACAAATATTTTTACTTGCTAGGATGCATCTTTTGTACTCCTTGCATTCTTGCATCAAATTATATTTTGAGTTTTGCCATTGTTTATAGTTAAATGAAAGGTTTTATTCTCATTTTTTTTTAAATTCAGTCGCCAACCACGGTTTTGGAATACTAACAAATTTTACGTTGTTCTAAAGCACTGCTTAATAGCTGGTTTGGCAGCAATTTTTTATTTTTTTTGAATGTTTGCTTTAACTTTTGTTCAATTTTTTTTTCATTTAAGGTGTAGTTATTGAAAACTATAGATAAATTTTGATTACAAAACTATATTTTTTCGTGTTATATTTTTCATTGAGATTGATAAGTTAGAGTGTAATGGCGATACTCGTAGCTATTAATAAATGATCTCGTAAGTTAAAAGGCGAATAAGGAACAACTTTGATAACAGTAAAAATTTGGGTAACTTTTTTTCCAGTTCGGAAATAAAAACTGAGTTTGATTCAAAGCGTTAGCAGTTATTTGCGCATTTAACTGCGCATAACTGCCAACCCCCCGTTTGAATATTTAGATCAACCTGTTGGGCAACCAAATAGAACTCTTTTTAAATAAAACTTTTAATGATATTTGCATCACAATTTTTGTAAAAAGGAAATTATATACACTTTATTTTTATTTAATAGAGTAAAATAGGGTCAAATGAAATAGTTTAGGATTTTAATTATTAATTTTTTACGGAAAAAAGATTTTTCCTTTTTTTTTAAAGTTGTAGAGAGTATTGTGCTGTATTTAAATATATAAATTTTTAAAGTTTTTTTGTAAAGTTTTTTATGAAACTTTATTTGATTAAAAAAAGTTTTATTCCATTCTACTCTGACATTTGGGGAGAATGAAATACGCAAATATAAGTGTAATAAAGTATGTGTAATTAAAACAACACTTTATTAAAAAAAACAAAAAAGCAATCAACAATAACAATTAAAAAAACAATCAATAACAACAATTAAAAAAATCAATCAAATAAAAATAAACTTTTTTATTCTTGAGATGATGTTGAGCCGTTTAGAGGTACTAGAGATTGAGTTAAGTTTTCATTTGTGCGGCACTTTTTGTTGCAATAAAACTCATTGCCTGTTACGTATCGCTTTGTTACTTGGTTTACTTGCTGTTCTCCATTAGAGCTAAGTTTAGGTTGTTTTTTAGCTTGCTTTGCTGCTTTTTTGCTCTCAGCATCTTTCAACCTTTGCAGACTTTTGCTCGATTTTATCAATGCTGAGCGGAATCGACTTTTGCATCGATTGATAGCATACCATTTTTTAACTTAAACATCGACTTTTGCATCGATTTTATCGATGTTAGGTGGAAACAAGCCAGTATTCTGAAACCCAGTGTTTATCTGGGTACGTGTAAAAACTTTACGAGAGCTGAAAAGTTTTTTTTGCAGGTGACTGAAACATTCTTTTGATAAGTGGCTAAACTTTGTCTCTGCCTAAAACTGTTAAAGTAGTTTGCGCCAAACTCTTTTGACATGGCAATAAACACCAACATCTAGTGGCTGTAGAATGTGCGACGAGTGAGTTAGTAAGCAAATTTACAAGAGAGTAACTAGCGAATTTCGTTCATTTATTAGAACCATTTTATAAAAGCAGTCAGTAAAAGTCAGTTATATTCAGTTAGAAAAGTTCGCTCATTGAAATTTATAGAAAAAATTTATAGTTGGAGATTTATTGGTCACATGAGACCAAATAAAAAAAGCCGCTTTTAAGAAATAAGCTATTGCTTCGTATTTATTTACTTATTAGCGTATTTCATTCAACCCCGCAACCCTCACTTTTTGTTTTTAACTCATAACCTTTTTCCTAAATAGCAAATTTAATTTTGTAAAAAGATTCTTGATCAACGTAAAAAGTTGTATCATTAAACATTTTAAGTTCAATGATACCGAATTTTCAAATAAATAAAAAAAATTCCCTGTTCAGTCAAATAAAAAAAATCTTATTACGCATTCGAAAAATTTATAACAAAACTTTTTTAATTAAAAATAAAATTTTATACAATCTTACTCAGAAAAATATTCTCTACAATGTAATCAAAAATATTTACAAAAAAATTATTCAATTGTTATTTAAAAGCGAAAGAATAAACATTGTCATAACTATTTCGTTCCCGCTATTTCATTCTGTTTTACTATACACTTTTTTTAAATAATAAAAAATTGCGAAAAAACTCATTAAAAAACATCAAAGCAAACAATTTATGAAAAAAAAAACAATATAAAAAACAAATTAGTATTTTTACTCATATATATTTATTATATATATGAGTAAAATATTTTTATTTAGAGTATATTTTTTTGACTTTAGTTTGATTCTTTTTGACTAATAATATTATTCCAAAACAACAACCCTGACATTTGCCCTGCCATACATTTTTCGGTCTCATAAGCTGAAAATCCCCCTAAATAATTGTAGCCTGGTCCAATATTGTGAAACGTTTTTAAATATCCGAATGCATCGTGAACGGCGGCATGACTTGCCCAAGGTCCATTGTAGTCAAATAAAAAATTATGCATTAAACCAGTGTCACCAGGGCCGACCCGTCCTAATATTGATTAAGTAATGCAAAATAGTATTTATATAACTTAACCAACGTGCAAATATGTGATAAAAATCACAAGTAAATAAACTTTCATTTATTTCAATTTTTTACACAACTAATTACCTGTTGTTGGGTTTAAAAGCACGCCAAACACCGGATTTAGAGTACCATAATCTTCAGCAACAAAATCTGCAATTACTTTTCCAGATAATAACTGTTGAAGACTTCCCCAGTAACCATTATGATTTAAAACAACGGTATTTTCTGAAATCAAATTTTTTGTAATAACCCAGTGGGCACCCGACGTCAATCCGACGTCGGATTTACGTTTGATTTTCATCAGCGATGTCAAAAGACCTATTCCGACGTTGTTCCGATGTCAGTAAAATGACGTCGGGCGATGTCTTTATCTCAACATCCCCTGACGTCGTTTCGATGTATTTTGACGTTGTTCTGACATCTTATAAAAGACGTCCAAAAAACGTCGCAGTACTGACATCGATCCAACGTCGATAAAAAGACGTCGGGCAACGTCATAATATTAACGTACTCCGATGTCTTTTGACGTCTTCCGACGTCAATCCAAAGTCCTTAAAACGACGTTGGAACAACGTCGTAAGACATCGCTGATGAAAATTTAATCCAAACCCAACAATATGTGTGCAATTGCGCTCTTCAATAATTATGTGAACTAAGCGTGTTTTTTTATTAATGGAAAAAAGTTTGAATAAAGGTTGATAAAACATCATGAGGTTTTGTATGATGCACTAGCATAGTTTTTTAACTATTAACATTTTCGAGTATACATTTTTTATAATATATAACTATTCGTTTTAATATTTATATAATATTTAAACAAAATTATTTCTTATCAAAGTAATAATTCCCAAATAGCTACAAGTATACATTACTAAATAAACGCATCTATTAATACGTCCTTGTGGTGTAGTGGTTAGCGCATAGGATTTAGTATCTAAAAGTACGTGGTTCGATTCCTGCTAAAGGCGACGTTTTTTAGTTTTCAAAAAACACGTTGGATTTACATCGGAATGCCGACGTCGCGCGATGTCAGTTTATCCGACGTCAAATAACATTTCCATTTCCAACGTAAACCCAACGTCGATCCGACGTCGAGATCCGACGTCGCTCGACGTTCGTTCGACGTCGAAATGCCCACTGGGAATCTTAAGATGCAGGTTTGGAATTATTTCAGAAAGTTCAAATTTAAATTACCCTAAGTTTGTTAAAAGATAAAAGAAATAAAGTTTAACACTTTGAAGTTCAAAAATTGTAAAATTGTTCCAATAAAATATTTTTATTATAGTTTGTTAATATTTTGACTTGAAGGTATGGTCACACTGCGAATTTGATTAAATAGAGACTATCAAATAGAATCAAAGAATACAACTCGATGTAACTAAATAGTTAAAATTTTTATTTATTCGAAAGCTTTTAATATCATATATAGTTTTTTATATAAACTAAAATTAAAAAAAAATAATAACAAAATTGTTTATGTTTCAGATATAAGAACAGCGTGTTTATTACATTTATTCTAAAGGTTGGATATTAGTAGGTTTTTTAATGATGAATTCAGGAGATAAATAACATCAGGTCAGTTTTTAAATGATGAATTGAAAAGATAGATAACAATAGATCAGTTTTTAAATGATGAGTTGAGAAATGAGGAAAAAAAAGCCGGATAACGTTAAACTGGTTAACTGATTTTTAAAACATAGTTAGATATTGTTAGTTTGGAAACTAGAAGCTTTATCGATTGGTCTAATATCAGCTTTTAATCAACAAAACGCAAAGATATTTTACAACTATGTTTAATTTGTGCTCGGAAAGTGTCACATCAGGTCTGGAATTTTGACAAAACGTCAATTACAATAGTTTAATACTTAAAAATGTTATTGCTAAAATAACTAAATGTAAACTATTTTTTGTTGCATGTGCTCAATGTTAAGTTATGTTTAAAATGTAATTCAGATGTATGAATTGCATATTGCACTATGTTTCACATTCAGTAAATACTGGTGGTGTTCATGAGCCATTTGATCATTTTTACAACTGTGAATTAGATTTATGACTCATAAACAAATCAGAGAAAACTATTTCCATTTTTGAACTAGCAGAACTTACAAAACATTTTCTTTTTTCTTCTTTTTTGTACAAAAAAGAAGAAAAAAGCATAACATAAGCAAATATATAAGCAAGTTAATTTTGAGCGACATCAAAGGTTAAGATAAGATTTGCATAGAGTTTATGAAGATGCATTTGAAAGGCAGTTTATTCTCAGATCTAACAATGAATTTGATATTCGATACAGCGACTGTGAAAGTGAAAGTGAAAGTTGAATATTAAACTAGTAAGTAACAAACGAGTTGTTTTACCTGTTAAAAACAATTTACATAACAATTTATCTTTAAATTTAGCATAATTATTCCTTATTTTAGATAATTAAAATAATTAGTTCATGCTAAAAAGCCACTGGTTATTTCAATTAAAACTTTTGTTATTTAAGCACCCATTTACGGTTATTAGGATCGAAGTTCGATGCCGGTAGAATGAACCGTAGCCTATTAGAGTGTTAGTAGTTTTATAAACAACCTAATTCTATTAGTTATTTTTCAGATGTTTATTTATTTTGAAAATATAAGATTTTTATTTTTGTCTTTATCAGTTTTTTTATGTTTATGGTTACTCCCCTTGTACTAGCCACGCTATTTGAAAGTAAACCATCCATTACAATTTTGCTTTCTTTTACGTAACTAATGTTACTGAAAAATATATTGTTGGTGTGTTGTTGTAAGGCAAATAGATTTAAGTGTGTGTGTGTGTTTGTGTATATTTTAGATGTCTAACTTGCGGGATTTTATTCGAAGAAATTTGAAGCCTCTTATTTTGTTTACAAATTTTTTCCCCCACTTGTAAAAAGGGCAAAATTGTACACAGTTAATGTTGTGGAAGCCATTTCTAATTAGGTCATAAGCTGATTCACTTTTCGGATCGAATTTAGAATATAATATTTAGTTTATAATATTTACTTTTCTGATAGTTACAAAGATATATTATATTATAATATATAAATGGAATTATCACAAAAGTAGATACAAATTAGTCCGAAAGTACTACGCAAGTAGTTCGAAACTTCTATTAGTCTTTAAACGTAAAAGAAGTGTGTGAAGTGTTCCAATATAAGAACGTCATATTCTATTGGCATTTTAAAGAAAAAAACTCAATTGAAAAAAACAATTTTAGATACTGGAGCAAATAACATTAAAACTTCTAATTTATTTTTCTATATTATGATTTTTATTTTTATTTAAATAAATGTTAAAATGCTGATGATCGCTTTAAATTTAAATTAATGTTTCGTTCTAAAACTATATATAGAAACACATATTTAGTTTTAAATATATATATATATATATATATATATATATATATATATATATGCATATTTGCTAAATATATATTATTACGCATAGTTAATTTTAAGTATCTTTATATTTTTTGAAGTTCTATGTTTTCTCTAACCAAGAATGCTAATCATTTTTATAAATATATATATATATATATATATATATATATATATATATATATATATATATATATATATATATATATATATATATATATATACATATATATATATATATATATATATATATATATATATATATATATATATATATATATATATATAAATATATTAATCCTTTTTTTTTTCTTATTGTTAATCGTCTTTCAACCTAATTATTTAAAACCACTAGCCCTCTAAAACCACTAGCACTTTCAACCTAATTATTTAAAACCACTAGCCCTCTAAAACCTTTAATAAAAAATAAATGAAAAAGAAGTTAACGCATAATAAATTGTAAGAGCCTACGGAAACTATTTTATGCTATAACAATCTACTTAAACATTAAAAATTAAAAATAGAATTTGAATATTCACAAACCTGAACGAGATGTGTAAATTTGTAAAAACTTTTTTGAATCTTTAATAAAGCGCTCTTTGTCTTGAATTTGTATAATCTCTATTATTTTTTCAACATAAAACGAAAATGCGTTTAATCCTAATGAACTTAAGTTTCTGGTTCCAGTTATCCAATTCCAAGATTCACCTTTTCTTAAAAATGAGTCAAAACTTGATAAAATTTCGCCCAGTGATTTATATTTACTATTCAATGAACTATCAAGAGTTATTTTATCTTTTTCTATGTTAAACTTACGTGAAATTTTTTCTCGGCTATTTAACAACTCGATACAGTATTCCGCAATAGATTTATTTTTTAAAAACAACCACACTGGAACATGAATGTTATATGCGTTTAAAAAAGAATCTTCTGCATCTATTGCTTCAGACTTTTGGACTATAAATTCTTCTGTTTCAATATCTTCAAACATTTTTTGCTGGCTTTTTGATTCTAAAACTACTAAATAATCTTTTGAGCTCTCTTCTAACTGATACGCAATACCACTAGCATTGTTGCCACTTGCATTAAATGTTGTTTTACGCAAAATGAGTGGTTGATATTTATTATTAAATTTCATATTAGGCTTCTCTTTTTGTTTATACAAGTTTAGTAAATAAATAAATCTTTTTTTAATATAGAAGTTTTATTTGATGTTTTCTACAAAAGCAAATTGTACATAAAAATAAAATTTTATAGAAGTACAATGTGTTATAATACCATTGCATACATAACACCATACTCTAAGAAGAATTATTTTTTTTTTTTACAAAATTCTGCTTTTTATTACAAACTCCGTAAATGATCTAATTATGTGAAAACTCCACTTGACGTAAATAATGACGTTAGATGAGCTTAAGGCAAACTGAAGTTTACAATATACCTTATATTTAATTCGACAATAAAATTGGCTATAAGTATGTGTGGATATTTTTGCTACCCATTAATGGCGTCATTAACTTACATATTACGTCAAATCTACTCTTAATCAACAACAACATTTTTTATCTTTTATCAGTAGGAAGAAAGATATTACGTTTTTATAATATGTTTTTATAAGTTTTATCAGTATCATACAAATCTTATGAATTTTCTAACTATAAATTAGTCTAACCCAAATTTGCAAAAGTAAAATCTCGTAAAAGTAAAAACTGAGTTTTAATTCAAAAATAAACTTTTGTGAAAATGGGGTATTTTCAATTTTGTAAAGGAAATGTAGTTTTAAACTTTTAGCTGAACGTTTTTGAACTGTTTGTTGAATGTTTTTGAACTGCTTGTTGAATGTTTTTGAACTGTTTGTTGAATGTTTTTGAACTGTTTGTTGAATGTTATTGAACTTATAGTTAAAATAGTATACTTAATTAAAGATACATTTAAAAAAAGTCATTTAATTACAAGTATTTGGTAACTTTAACATGCCATATGGTTAACATGATTTGAGACTGTAGCATGATTTTGGAGACAAGCTTTCTGTGCTCTCGGACAGCCAGAAGTATATTTAAGCGTTAATCTTCACAGTAGGATACATTAACAAATTCTTGTATTAGACCTTGTATAAGTGAAGTTTCATTCGACACAATCATTAGTGACACCACCTATATACAAAGCTACAAAAGTCTTCATAAGATATATTTATAAGGTTCCTAGAGGTCTCCTTCTATCTAATACCAATCAATGAAAACTCTAGCGATATCAAAAAGAATAAATAAAATGCAGTTCGCCTCTGTTTTCAAGTTTTTAAATTTAGATGATACTAAGTATGGTTGTTGAAACTTTTTAATAAAGTACTACCAACATCATAATCCCAACTTTTCCTTATGATTTTAGCAGCTTTGTATCTCTTAAGGTCATCTACTGCTGCACTTCAGCTTTGCTGGATAACAGAAATAAAGGTGGAAAGTATATGGCAACATTAAAGTTACCCTTGAAGACTAAAATCTTTTAATCGTCTTTCAGAAAATTAATAATTAGAGACGTAATGATTGGAGACAAAGTCCCAGATAGATGCTGTCACACATAAACCTGGAATTGCGGTTAGAAATTTTTTGATGCAAACTAAACTTTTCAAGTTTGGATGAATTGATATTTATATATATGTATATACTATCAACTGATTATAATCATTCCTTGGAAAGACATTATGCTCAAGGACATAGGCAATAAGTTTCTGTGACTTTAGATACATCGTGAAGACCACTTCCAATAACCAGCTCACTTTCAGTAAACTTCTTTACAGCTCCTAATTAATACAATAGAGGAATATTTATTTATCCAAGCTTATCATAGTCTACTCATCTAAGCCTGCCTTAAATCTTTAGGCACCTGTTTAGAAGGTTCTACAATTTATTCTTTAAAATTAGATTTGATGTCCTATTTTATATGAACTTCAGCAACACAGTGCCAACACAATAGCCAGAGATCTGATTATACCAAAACTCTGAATAGTGTTACAATTGCTCCTGGTTGTGTCAGTAAAAACAGCAATGATCTTCTCTAATATTTCAAAATGCTTTAATAAATTTTGGAGTACAATAAGAATATCATTAGCTTTTCCATTGTCCACAGGAACAACCCCTAGAAGAAGAATTTTTGTTCGATATAAACTCCGTACTTATACTGTTACTGATACTGCTAGTCTATCAATAAGAACTCACTTCCTTGATACTTTTTCTAATTGCTTTAAAATTTTTCTATCAAAGTGAAGCACAAATGTTTTGTTATTCATTGTTTCCATACATTTATTACGAATTTTACAACCTTAACAGACAATTATCCTATGACAGTTTAATAATAACCAGCAATCTAAAACGAATTATTGTATTATAACAGTTAAAAAACTAAAATTTTACAGTTTCATTAACAGTGTAATTTGTTACCTTCAGAATAAAGTAGTTTTTTATCTGCTTCTTCTGACTGACTCTTTTATCCTTAATTCTGTGATATTTTTTTCAAGAAAGTTAGCAATGAGGAACATATGAGAGAAACATAGTTTAATCCTTTATACTGTTACCAGCTCTTATACATGATGGTGTGATTGCTGCAACCAAATTCTCTCTAGTGATTCCTTGTTTACTTTAAAGTTTACTCTAAAATATCCTAATTTTAGGGTATTCACATCTGGACTGTTTGATGGCTGACAAATTAAACGAATATCAAACTTATCCTGAGACGCGTTCGCCATAAATTCTCAATCAACAATAGCTTCATGCTTACAAACTGAATTGTACCATTTGCAAAAAATTGTTAGTGAGAATGAATAAATTCAATACGATGCTTCCTATTTTGATCTGTTATGGTTTCACAGCTGACGTGCACACTCACAGATCACCAGTTTTCGATAAAATGTTGTTATTGGAATATTAAAAATTTTAGCACACATCAAATATTTATACGTTTGTTCAAACGGATTTTACTGATTTTTCCCTTCAGTTGATGATTTTTTTTTCGTCCACATCTTTCCTTAAGTTTTGGAGCACACGTTGATAGCATACTTTCTTGTTAACGATGCTGAAGGTTACTGATTGTTTTAGTGTAAAGGCTGACTTTTTCAGCAGTATTTTCAAATAAGCCTTTTTATTTAGTTTTCCATTAATGCATTGGGATAACAACTAGCCGTAAATCACTCTACGTTGCACGCTTCTCTCTTTTATTTATTTTTGCGAAAACTTAGTTGCAAATTCTTAAAGTAAAATAAATTATGTTAGCTGCTTCTAAATTTAAAAAATATGTTTATCTCTATTTGAAACTGGTATTGTGGTTTATCCTCCTCCGTCTAATTGCCATACAGAGCAGTGGCGTACCGAAGGAAGGGGGGGGGGGAGGAAGGTGGCGGGGCTCACCGCCCCGGGTGTCATCCACTTTTGGGTGACACCCAATTTATTAATATTTTATATTTTATTTTGGTTTATAATTAAACAGTCTTACATAAAAAAAATAAGTGGGTACTTATTTACACTACCTACGAAATGCTGAATGCTGAAAGATATAGTTATCATTTAGAAAAAAATTTTTTAGAAAATATAATCGCTTAGCTTTCTTATTATTGTCGAAAACAAGGTTTAAAATTACATGTGTCAACGTTTCTAAATACTGCTTTAATAATTTCGTATATAAAATAATTACATATAATATATGGGTGACACCCTATTTGCCGCCCCGGATGACACCATAACTAGGAACGCCACTGGTACAGAGGCAACATTACCGAGGTCCGCAAAGATTAGTTTCAGCTCACTAAAGATCATCATAACCCGCTTCTCAGACCAAGAGTAAGTGATGTTGCAAAGAACCAGGGATTATAGAGGGAAAGTCAGAAGAGGTCGAGTTAGAAAGACAGCATAGAAATAGCAGAAAGATATTGCACTAGATGTTAGAATGTGCAACTTGAGTTCTTGTCAAGTTTACTTGATATAAACTCTTCAATAGATTGTTACTGCAGTAGAAAAATTCAAAAAAGCAACAAATTAACCTGACTTTATTTGTTACAGAATTAAAAATAATAAAGTCATCAAAAGAGCTTAAAATATATAAACTAAATTGTTTTAACCACATAACTAATTTGTTCCTGTTTAAAATTTTTTAAAAAGCTGTTAATTAAACTAGTTAAGAACTTTTAAAAAGCTCCCAGCCGGCACAACTCAGAAAATAGTTACGCTCGGTTTCTGTTACGTTTTTAAAACCTTCTAAAACAAAAAGAATAACACATATCCTAAATAGTTTTTATTCCGTCAAATTAGCTATTACTATTTACCATAAATACCAGTTAAAGTATTAATGGTTTCACCGTTATGGAAACGTAGTATTATATTTTAATAACTTTCCGTAAGGAATGTGAAACCACTGATAAAAATATGCGACATTTAAATTTGACTTTAAAACCTCAAAAATCACGTGTTAAACTCTAGTAAAACTGCCCGTAATATACACGTGCTTTTGGTTTACGCCTGGATCGTGAAAAACACGTGCCTATATAGGTTTTATTTCCGAAAAAGAAACTAGATGTGCCGATAGGGCTGTAACTCTTATTTTCACTAAAAACCATAAAAATAAAAAACGATAAAAATTTAAAACGATAAAAATTAAAACGATAAAATATTTTAAAATATTTAAGTTTATAATTCATTTTTAATAAAATGGAACAATATTTTGGAACAAAATGTTTCATAAAAAAAAACATCCTTTTTAGAAATTAATGGTGCGATGGTATTATATAATATTATCGTAATAAATTGTTTATAACATTATAGAAAAACATCTATATGTTATATAAAAAAATGTGTTTAGTTAAAAACACAATTAATTTTCAATAACTCTTTACGTTGAATGCAAATCGAAACAGTATTTCGGATCAGAGGGAGTATTAATTAAAATACTTCATATATTAAATTTTATTTTTAACTGCATATTTGAGACAATCTTTATTTTGACGCAAAATCAAATATAAGTATTCCCACATGACGCAACTGTTGCCTATTGTTTTGTTTTTGTTATTTCTAACGATTGATATATTATAGATCGTGGGAATATTTATATTTGATGTTACGTCAAAACAAAGAGTGTCTCAAATATGAAATTAAAAATAAGTTTTGTTATATAAAGTATTGTATACAATACTAGTAGAATATATTAATTATAATTAATATATTTTACTATTTTGTTTAAAGATTGAATTTAACAATATCCCTGTATAACTTTATAACAAAAGGTTTTTTGCCCCGAATATTCGAATTTACACTTTTTATGACTTTTGACTAAATTTAAAGCAAATTCCAAGCATTGCACAGTGGGCCGGATATTAGACATATGGTGGACAAAAATATTTTGATCTTTTTTTTTGTTGTTTTATTAAAACCCTTTGTATGTCTAAATAATCTCTTTATATTAAGATATATTTATATTAAGATATATTTATTTTTATTATAAATTTTAGTTAAATAGTTGCTAATTCTAAAAAATATTTAACAAACTTCATTAAACTTTAAGAACGAGGATTTGCAATTTTTTAATTTCAAATTCTATAACTTTTTAAAATCGTGGAACTGAATGACAAACTTTTCTCGTGAAATAAACTTAAAAAAAAATTGATGCAACAAACTTTAAAAATAAAAATGCGCACTTACTTCAGAAAAAATGAATGTTTATCACTAGATTTGAAACTCTATTATCGGTATTATATAATAGATTTGAAATATATTGATAAATATATTGAAAGATATAGAAAATATAAATGAATATATAAATTTGAAACTCTGTTATTGATATTATTATATGCCCACGACGTTTTGAATAAGTCTGTATATTATTTATCATCTTTATATATAAAATGTGTTTTTTATTTATTTTTAATCTATTGGCCGCACAGTCTGGATGAATAATATTACAACGTTTTTATTATTATAAGTTCTACTGAGTTCTAAAGGTACTATGCAAATAATCAACTGGCACTCTACATTCGTCACTATTTTCATTTTAACTTACCTGTTTGTAAACACTATATCATTTAGCACCATCAAAACCAGCCTTGCATCTAAATGTCAGTTTAGTTAATTCCTTAGCATTGTGATTAGCAAAGTAGTTTGTATACCACATAGCTTTTAAAGAGTGTGTTTTAGAAGATTTGTATTGAAATATTTCAGCAGGTACAATGGGGTTTTTATTTTAAATAACAGAAATTTCTGTGCCAGTTTTGTACTAAAACTCACTTCTTAATTTCAATTTAGTTGCATGAAGTAATTTATTGCTAAATAAAGTATAAAAAAATTGCTATGCTTATTCTTTTTGTTTTGTTACAAGCTTTTTCAAAAGAGCAACATGTTTTCCCAACTTCATTAACTGATGATGTAGCATTTAATGTACTGTAGGTGTATTGAAAATCTCGAGCGAGCCAATTTTCATACTTCTCTCAAAATGAGTATTATCATTGTTTGCCGCTATCAACTTTTTACATTGTAATTTTATAAATTTCTTCAATCCTCTAGTTTGATATCTGCAGATATCAAACTAGAACAGTAAATTTCGATGAAAAGAATATTTTTATTTATTTTGTCGTATAAGTCCGTAAATTACATCAATTTTTATATTATTATTAAACAAAAAAAATAAATAATTGTTAAGTGAACTTACGCAATTTGTATTAAATTAAATAACAAACAAAATAGCATCTATCTTTGCTTACAAGAAATAAAAGTTGATTTCAAGCAAATAACATAAGTTACAAGTCATTATTTTAAAATGTTAAAGAAACCCAAAAGGGGAACTTAGGGGCAATGTGTATAATTCATATAGGTTGTATACATATTACATTTACTAGTTCAAGTATTTAATATAGGTTCTCGTAGGTTTCCAAAATTATGTGACACTTTTTATACAAAATAAATTTATTAAATGTTAAAAATTTACCTCGTTATTTCAAAGCCAGATTATTAGTGTATTATAAAGGATAATCTTTTTTTTTTTTTTTTTTTCGTAAAACTTTACTGTTAAATAGTTAAAATATATAAACTAATCCCATACGCTCATAAAATTTTAAATGTTACTGTTTACTATAGCTATGCATAAAAATTAAAACTTCACGCTTTTTTTTTAAAAAAATTTTTTTTTCATTAAACATGGAACCGCAACTGATTTTTGTGGTTTTATAAGACTATTATAAACAAAACAACTTTTTAAACTTTAAATAAGAGTATTAGGGCGAATTTCCACTCATCCATTTTTTCACGAGAACGGAAAAGGGACGGGGAAAATAATCACGTGGGCATGCGTAGAATAACTTTTAATGTCTGAAGGAAAACTACGCATGCTCACGTGATTATTTTTCCCTTTCCTTTTCCCGTTACCGTGAAAAAACGTACGAGTGGAAACTCGCCTTTACAAATATGTTTTATTACATGTTTTTGAATATAATAAATATTTATATTTTAGGTTCTATCTATTACCTGGCCCATTGAGCATTGGCGCGAATAGATTCCGATGTCAAATCCAGTTCATTTGTTCAAGGATATTTTCTAAATGTGTTCATGTATCAAAATAAAACACTGTGCTTAGTAATTTAAGAAATATGTTGTACCTATTGTATTTATTCATTTATTTTCTTCTTTTCCAGGTATGCCTTATTATATATTTGGAATAACACTTTGGCTATAGTAAAGTGATTTTTTGTTGATCTTTGAGCTTTTCCTCAGTCAGACAACAAATTTTATGTTTTTTACCTCATTTTGGTATCAAATTATGTGTTTTTTTAAAATACTGTTTCTGGTGTCTTGGATCAAACAAATCCAAATCCAAAATGGTTTTCATAAGAGTAAAGACTTTTGATCTTTTGTTGTCAACAAAACTAGATCAAAACGTGCTAATGTGGTTCAAAAATATATACATATATTTTCTCTATTTTTTTTAAGTGCTCCAAGAAGACCTAAAAAAATCACAGAAAAAATGTGTATATGTATATTTCACATCACATAGCACCGCAGAAGAGCATTTAACTATGAAGTTTACGCTTGCTGTCAAAAAAAGCCTAGATATTTGCATGTTTATACTTATATCAAATAATGATGCTTTGCAAAATTTTGCAATCAATGGAGGCTGGGGACAAAAATAGCTTTAAAATTTCATCCCTCTCCCCCAAACGTGAGAGCAACAAGTTGGTAAAATAATGTTTTTGCTATACTTAACTAAGTTTGTATTCATTGATAAATTTTAAGTTTCATAGAATTATCCATCAGCGTTCATTAATTATGACCTTATAAAGTTTAAGCCCTCCTCAATTTGAGGGGGTTACAAATTTTATATGGTCATATTTTTTGAACGCTTAGAGATTGTAAAACAATATTTAAAATTCATTAGTGCATATAAATTTAGTTAAGAATAGCAAAAAAGCTATTTCATCAACTTGCTGCTCTCACATTCGGGACAGGGGGATAATATTTTAGGGGCTTTATTGCTCTCAGCCTCCAATCATTGCAACTTTTTAAAAATCATCATTATTTGACATAAGTTTAAACATACAAGTGTTTGAATTTTACTCCATGTTTGCTATCACAAACACCAGAAAATGCTGGATCCCGTCACTCCCACAGATCTCTTGTGTCTGAAGCAAACTTGCTTCAGAATTCAGCCTTTAAACTTTGCAAATGTACAATAAATATTTATAGTCAAATATCTTAAGAAAATATTTAAAATCTACCAACATTTCAAAAAAGTATGTAAAAAAACAATTTTTAAATGTACTTTAAAAGTTCAGAGTTTGCAGTTAGGTATCGGATCAAAATTCAAATAATTAGAACCATTCAATAACAAGAAAGAAAGCAGTCGCCGTAGGTAGCTCCTTGAAGCCACTCTTCTTCTTCTTTTAATGTTTCTTTACAGAAATTTTTTATTTAAAGTAGCTTCTGAGGCTTCTCCAAGCTCATCACACGCTCTACATTATCTTAAATGTTTTACTGTAAGTACAGCAAAATTGTTTTTTTTTATTACGAATTTTTTTCTTAAAACAAGAAATGCGTTTCTTGTATTAAGAAATAAATATTCTACCCTGTAATTTATTTTTAAAAACAAGAAATATATTTCTTGTTTTGAGAAATAAATTTCTAAAACTATGGTCAATAGATTTACAACTATGCTGTGAATTCTGATGAGTTGTTAGCAACTTTAAAAGATTTTAAAAGTTTTGAAATTCATTGTATCCAAAATGTCTCATCCGAAGACATTTTTTTAAACTATGTTTTAGAATATCAAAAATTAACCAGTAGTCTGGTGAAATATACAACTCAAGACCTAGTGGCTGTTCTTTATCCTTTTTTACATCTTTTTGGACCTCTCTTTGGTTTTGAATACAGAACTTTTTACTATTTTTATATTAAGATCTCGGTCAAAAGTTACTAACGCCAGCACCAAACATCTCTATGGTTTTACCATGATTTGAATTTCACCTCTGCTGCAGGCTCAGTATACGTCTGTCAATAGTCTTGTTGATCTTAAAAGTGTAAACTAAAATAATGCAATGTATGTTTTGTAATAATTCCAATATTAACAAAACTTTTTAAAAACATAAATAAACATTTGTTACTGTTAATTTTAGTAGCTTTCCGTATGTGATAATCAATATTTTTTCACTGCATTCCAAAACCTAACATACTTTGCAATGGTTTAAAATACATAAATAAACATTTGTTACTATTAATTTTAAAGTTTTAAAAATAAAAAAATTTATTTATTTCTTGCGGTGACCATATGCTCACTGATAGTAAACCGCTTTTGCAACAAGTTTTTAAACTACAGTTTAACATTTTAAGTCGCATAATAGAGTTTTTCAAGTTTTTTTTCAAGTTTAATACTGATTTAATTTGTTTAACAAATTGTTTTAAAATGGGATGACACAATTGGTCAAACAATTTCTTCTAATTAAAAATTATCAGCAAACATTATTTTTGCTTCAATTACATTGTTTTTGGCTTCAATTATACTAAACTCCAAGGAGGGAGTAGCAAAGTATACATTTGTATATCGTGATTATGATATCATACTCTATCAATAGTCTATCAATCTAGTATATCCAAAAACTATTAAACAGTATCCAAGTATATACTTTGAAATTATAAATTTATATTTATACGAGAAAAGCAGTGAAAATCGAATTTTAAGCCATGAAAAATATTACGTTTGCGTCTGCGATTAGTAATTAAGTTCATGATAACATGTAATAATTAATAGCGGTAATCGTATATAATGTTGCATATATAATAAGTAGCAATCATATATAATAATTAATAGTATTAGCATATACAATATATGATTAAGTAAAGTAATTATATAATAAACAGTCAGTTAAGACCTTTAACAAAAATATTTTTATTGAAGATGGAAACATTAACTGGGATCTCTATATTAAAAAAGATAATGATGTAAATCAATCTATCAGTTTTCTTTTAAAAAAAACTTGAAAACCTATTAGACCAGCAGGCTCCGTACAAAAAACTAACTAAGCAGCAAATTAAACTTAAATCAAAACCATGGATCACCAATGGCATACTTAAATCTATTTCCATTAAAAACAGACTATATAAAAAATACACAAAATGTGCATTTTTTATATAGTCTGTTTTTAATGGAATTTTTCATTATGAGATATTAGTACTAAAAATAAACTGTTTTCTAAATTTAAATTTTAAAGAAACAGAATCAACAATCTACGAAAAATTAGTAAAAAATCCTATAACACAATCTATTTTAGTAAAATCTTAAACAATATTAAGAATACTTGCAAAGGGATAAAAGAAATCATTAATATAAAACCTTCCTCCTATAGTTCAACTCTCAAACTTAAATTGAAAGAAAATATTATCACAGATCAAACTACAGTATCAAATATGTTAAACAATTTTTTTGTTACTATTCAATACAAACTTCAAAACAAAATCATACCTTCAACATCCAAATTTACTGACTATATCAACTCTCCAAAATCTAAATCGTTCTTTATTGATCCTGTCACAGAGAATGAAATTTCCAATCTTATTAAAACCACCCTTAGAACTGTAAAAAGCTTTGGTCCTAATAACCTTTCTATATTCCTTCTTAAACATATTCCAGACATAATTTCTAAACCTCATAGCATTATTATAAATAACATTTGAAAACGTTTATTCCCAGATGCTTTCAAAGTTGCTAAAGTCATTCCGATATTTAAAAAAGGTTCTACAATAGATATATGCAACTGCCGTCCTATCTCTCTTATTTCAAGCCTTAGCAAACTCTTTGAACAAGCTATGTATAAGAGCCTCCATGTATTTTTAAATAAATTTACATGCCTTTACAAATGCCACTATGGGTTTTGTGCTTATTATTCCACAACTCACTCACTTATTAAAATTACTGAGTCGTTTAGAAAAGCTCTTGACGATAAAAACTTTGCATGTAGTGTGTTTGTAGATCTACAAAAAGCTTTTGATACAGTAGACCATTCTATCCTACTCAAGAAAATAGAATATTATGGAATCAGAGGAATACCCTTTAAATGGTTTACTTCCTATCTTCAAAACAGATCTTAGTTTGTGTCAGTCAATGATTCAAAATCTACTCAAATAAATTGTTCCAACGGTGTCCCTCAACGCTCAGTATTAGAACCACTTCTTTTTCTTATTTATATTAATGACCTTATAACTCAATTAAGTTTGCAACTCCTTACCACTTTGCTGATGATACTAACTTTCTCATTATCAACAAATCTTTAAAAAAAAATTATCAAATACATTAATCATGATTTTGACAATTTAGTAAAGTGGCTTTGCTCAAATAAGCTTTCTCTCAACTGTAGCAAAACTGAACTGGTTATATTTAAATCTAATAAAACAAAAATCGATAAAAATTTCAACTTTAGATTAAGTGGCCAGAAAATCATTTCTGTACACTCTACGAAATATCTTAAAATTATAATTGATTCCAACCTATTGTTTGCGTCCCATCTTAAATGGCCATAAAATTAAGCAGATCAAATGGAATGCTGGCAAAAGATCGCCATTATGTCAATCTGGAAATACTATTAAATATATATCACGCCATTTTTGACTCACATATACGATATGCTTGTCAAATATGGGGACAATCTCAACAACAAACAGTTGTAAGGATATCCCATCTTCAAAACAAAGCTTTGAAAATAATACATTTTTAGAATTACAAATTCAATCCTAATATTCTTTATCTTACTTCTAAGATCCTTAAACTGACCTTGATCAATTCTTGAATTGCCAGTTTGTTTGAATCACCAACACAAAAACCTGCCTCTTACCTTCAATATTTTTGAAACGGTTATTTGCATTTTTCCCCCAAAAAAAAACAAATAACCGTTACTATATTCGATCAATTGATAATCTAAATCTTGCAGTCTTAAAACATCGTTCTGTTATTTATGGATAAAAGTCTATAAAAAACCAAAGTATAAAATCTTGGAATAACCTTTTCTATGACCTAAAAGCTCACCATTCAATCTATGTTTTTAAGAAAAACCTATTCTATGCATGTATGTATGAATGTGTATGTCTGTATGTTTGTATATATTTATATGTGTATATATATGTGTCT